CAGTAGAATGAAGCAGCAGGTTTTTAATCAATGGGATTTAACTCATCATTTATCTCATATAGAATACGCTTCGTTATTTATACAACATAACCTTAATATTATGACTTATAGGCTATCTGCACAAAATGCTCTGCGCGGCTCTGAATGAACTCCTTTTGTGGACGCGTTCTTCACGCAACACCGTGCAGAAACACGGCAAATAAACTAAAAATTCACAGCGTTTTATTATAATAGTGTTCTCATTATAATGTTATGAGTATGACAGTCCCAGTCGTAGTTATTAATATTCTGCATTGTTGTTTGTCCTGCTCGCAATCACTTGTACCCTGCCGCCAAGATGCTCCTCTGTCGGTCACGGATTATGGAAAGTGAAACTTAAATCTATCGGGGTGGTTGGATTTATTCACACACGTTACAATATTTATTTGAAGCTTCTTTCTTTTCAGATTCTTATTTACATCATTATCATAAAAGGCTGTATATTAACTTATTGGGAGAAAACCGGTAGTTCTATGTGAAATCAGACATTGAGCATCGAATCTTCGACTATTTGGGGTCACCCCTGTTACTTACGTGGCTTGTCGTTTGCTGTTGGCCTTTGGCACAACGGCGGTACTGTTAACGTTCAACAATTAGGGTGCGATTAGGTGTCCCATCACTTCGTAGTGGCATAAAATCCCACGTTTTTCTGTGATACATATATACATACATACCCAAACACAGCATTTAATTGATATCTATTTCAAATAAATACTGTTCTTTTGAACTTTCTGCTCCTAAAATATTCAGTAAATATTGTTTGCAATAACATATCACTATTATAAATTTACAACTGAAAGACATTTATAATGTTACAAAAATTTTTTATTTCGAATAAATACTCTTCTTTTCAAATTTCCTGTAATTTGTAATTCCCGAGTCATAATAATAATACTAATAAAAATATATAATTATCTGCGACCCATATTCTTGTCTCACATAACAAAATAAGAATAATTAAATAAAAATAAATATTACTTGAATTTGTGATATCCAGTAAATTTTACGCACACTGTAATGTCGACTGCATTCATCAAGCTCAAATATATTCAATATAAAACGATCAATAATTATAAACCAGCATTTGGTCCCAAGCTAAGTAGGTCCCATTTGGTGACATTTGGTTTATTTAACTACATGTATGAAATAAAAGACACACAAAAAATAAGATGCTACAAAGAATATGATATTAAGTTCATGAAGATATTTTGTAAATGTCCTACTGTAAATATATCAAAACTTAATTTTTTATTAGTAATATGCATGGCTAAGAACTTCATTTGGACAACTTTAAAGGTGATTTTCTCAATATTTAGATTTTTTTGCACCCTCAGATTCCATATTTTCTAATAGTTGCATCTCAGCCAAATACTGTCCTATCCTAACAACCCATACATCAATGGAAAGCTTATGTATTCATCTTTCAGATGATGTAGAAATCTCAATTTCGAAAAATGGACCCTTATGACTGGTTTTGTGCTCCAGGGTCACATATGTGAGTGTTGTTTTGGGCCTGTGTGTGAATGACAGCTGAAGCACACACTGCTACACGTGTCAGATCAGTCTGTCACCGCTCCTGCTGCTCTTTGCTAATAAAAACAAACCCTTTTTCTCACGGCAAACGGCAAATGTTTGTCCAGTTTTTACTCCGTGAGCTTCTGTTATAGGCTATATCACAACAGCTAGGCTAACAGCTGCTCGAGCTAACCAGCGCAACCGCTTATAATGAGCGAAATCAACACAAATCAGACATTTAAGAGGAAAACATTCGGTTTTATACGATACCTGCATTGGCTGATGCCATATCCGACAGGTAAAGGTGTTCGCGAACGAGCTAACACCTACAAAACAACTTTGCCAGCTGACGAGAGAAATCTCCCTGCTCCACTGTGTTTGGTGCTGTTTTACTCCGTCCGAGTTTCGAAAAAGTACTTAAAAACAGATGTCATGACTTCAAACCGAGTGTCATTTTCCCCGCCGGTCGGAACGAACGGGTTTGCCGATGTTTTATAGTTGTTTTTTTTGTTTTCCTGCTCTTCGACTTTTTCCAGTTTAAAAACCTCCCTTGATCCAAGATGGCGCCCGTAATCTTTCAGTCAGCAGCAGAAGCGCGTCAGAGGAGGAAACTAGAGGCTCCACGCGGATCAGACGCGCCACTCTGCGTCCAATGTTGCTATTTTTCCTGTTTTTTTTATTTTTAATTTTTTATTATTTTGTTAATATTATTTTTAAGCAATGACTTAAATGACAATCAATTATCCAATAAAGTACGTAAAGTACAACTTACATAACAATATACATTTAACGTATTTTTTAAAATCTTCCTGAGGTAATTCCAGTATTGAATACTGGATTGGTTAGATTTATATGTTTATGTGATTTTGTAATAAGGAACTAAACCCTTTGAAATGTATTGTTTTCCCGGAAAGCTATTATTATCATTCATGCAAATCTGATGACGTCTGCTGAAAAGTGAAATCGTTTACGGTGATTATAAACCATTATTTCTAATTTTGAAATCAGAAGTTAAACAATACATAAAATCTATTTTTAATCTGATAAACAAGAAAGCTGTTGTGTAGTAGTAATGTATGCAAAAAGTTCCATGTTTTTATTTAAATTTATTTATTTATTTGTTTATTAAACATTTCATTTTAATTGTGTATCTTTCTTTTCTTGTCTTCACCACCTGGCTAATGTAAAATGTTGAATGTGAATAATTCAATTTTTTTTAAAAAGAGGCGGAGCAAATTAACATATTTTCATAACCGTTCTACATTTTTATCATTATTTGATTAACGTGCACCGATCAATCATGCAAAATAATACAAGAACTTGCATTAAAACGTAAAAATGATCACTCATACTTCATAAGTAGGCCTTTATCCGCTTAACCAATAGGAGTAGCCTTTGGAGATCACGTGACTCGACGCGGAAGAGTCTCTCGAGTGGCATTCCTTCCGTTCACTTTGCGTTTATAATAAACTAAATTATACTTTAATGTCATTTCTATTTAAACGTGTTTGTCATGTATTAAAATATATTAGTAATTACACATTTTGTAATGAAGTTGCAATTTGGTAAATTTAACACTGATGAACTTATCTACAGTTAAAATAATAATCAAGTACTTGTGCTTTAGTAGATTAGTCAACACATCAAAATGCTTAAACTAAATTATTTAGAATGTACTTTATATTTGACATTACGAAGTGCACGTTTTAAACGTGTGATTAGGTGTAAGAAACAGTCATATAAGTGTCTCTTTAAGTCCTAAAGTGGCCTTTTATTTAATTGATATTATATTATATGATGTTCTGTATGATATGAAGTACACTACAAGTGCACATTTAAAGCTACTTATTTACTGTCACTCTGTAAAATTTCCCAAATTGCTAATGTTTAATATGTAAATAAACATGTTTCGGTTATGTCAACTGCAAATGTATGTAACTATAATATCTATGTTTATGTGACCTATGAAGAGAATGGTCATCTTACAGCCCTGGAGCACTTTAGGAGTTTCCTCTGGGTTTTTATAATATTTTGGATTCATATATCACAATAAAATAAGGGGCTGTGGTAGACACTACTTGAAGAGACTTTAACAAAATAAGATAATCATGTTTAATAATAACAGAGAAATCAAACAAACACATCGAGTGTGACTTACATTCAGTATTTTGTTGTTAACATCCTCCATAATATCATCATATTACAAAACACAGGAAAATACAAAATAGCCCTGTTGAAAAAAACAGCATATGCTGGTTAGGTATGTTTTGACGCTGGGATGCTGGTTTAAGCTGGTTTATGCTGGTCCTTTGCGTGTCTATGCTGGTCCTTTGCGTGTCTATGCTGGTCCTTTGCGTGTCTATGCTGGTCCTTTGCGTGTCTATGCTGGTCCTTTGCGTGTCTATGCTGGTCCTTTGCGTGTCTATGCTGGTCCTTTGCGTGTCTATGCTGGTCCTTTGCGTGTCTATGCTGGTCCTTTGCGTGTCTATGCTGGTCCTTTGCGTGTCTATGCTGGTCCTTTGCGTGTCTATGCTGGTCCTTTGCCAGCCCATGACCATCATGAACCAACTAAGGACCAGCATAACCCAGCAAAGGACCAGCAAAAACCAGCAAAGGCCCAGCTTAAACCAGCATCCCAGCGTCAAAACATACCTAACCAGCATATGCTGTTTTTTTCAACAGGGAGAGATAACACTGTAATCGACTCGAAACAAACCTGCACCTGAAACAAAGTCCAGAAGAGAATGATGGGAAGTTGACAAGGACAATGGGAGGAATGATGAAATCCAAGGAGGACACAGAGATGCGATGTGAACAGAGCTGTGGGATTGAATCTGACCACAGACAAATGAGAAGATCCTAATTCATCTCGGCAGCTCGAGACGCAAGAAAGCAAGACGTTTACAGCAGCAAACTGCATCAACACAAACTCGCACGTTTACACAATCAATCTAGCTTTGGCTGGCAGCTTGTGAATATTCAGAATCTGTGAGAAAAATGAACGAGCAACAACGTGTTTGTTCAGTGTTAGTAAATATGGGTTTAATATCACATTCAGAAACTGAATGGCAGTGGTTTTCTCATCAAAATAACTGGCAGTGAATTGCACGGTTTACACATTATGTTAGAAAGTTAGTAACATTTGGCCATATTTAAAGGTGCACTCAGTTATTTTTGGTGTTCTGGCTGATCGTCCTGGGTTTATAGCCTACTCATCATACAAAACAGAACATTTTTGGTAACCAATGTCATTGCAAAATGCATTATTTACAGTCAGCCGCCATGATTTTACCGTCAACATTACCGAAGCATTTCTGTGGGCAAAATCCAGTCATTTCGATATGAATTCAATACGTGAAAGATTTCCTCGCGCAGATTATGCTTGACCATCTTGAACCCGTTGCGTGATCAGAAATCGGTTTGGTTTGAAAGTGACTTCTGTGTGAGATGTTCAGTCGAAACATTCTGTATTATAGGATGGATGGTTATACTCTGGAAAAAGATGCAGTAACTTGCAGTTTTTTAAATGAAAAACTAAAAACAAGACATGAAAAAGAGCAAACAATGGCAAAGGAAGGCACTGTTAAAAGGCACAGGTCACCTAAATAATTCTGTCATCATTTACTCATAAGACTTTTTTTTTTTTTTAAGAACGGGTTTAGCATTATATCTGATCTGCTCTCTATGGCAGTCCAATTCTGCCACAAAATATAGAAATAAAAAAGGTAAATGCAGCTTTTTATCTCAGAACTCACAACTGTTTGTTTTCCTCAGAATTGTGAGATATAATCTCATATTGTAAAACGGATAGTTCCGGTGCTTGATTCTGATTGGCTGAGCCACGTTCGAAGCTGTTGTAAATTACTCTACAAACACACACCTTTGTTTACTTCTGTCTGTTGCTCGGCAACCACTTTGTTGCAACCACAACTGTTTCTGAGGAGCTACATTGTTTGGTGGAAGAATACTGTTTTTATTAATATCATTACACTTTATTTGCTCTGTTTTATTCTGTGAAACCTTACTACGTATATGGAATAACCGTTTTATAAAAGCAATAAGC